CACAGTAATCTTAATGAATCCAAATCACTGAACGAATCATTTGTAACGCAAGTAATTTGATTGGTTCGCAACATTCTATGGGATAAATGATAAATACATGTTAGACATGTAATACAGTCATCATAATGGTATCCAAAACACATGTACTTATTAATTAGTAAACAATTCGATATAATCACACACACTATCCCTCTATTTTAGGAACACGTTTTCATCAAATTAACAACTCATTGCATTAGTTTCCAACAAAATGTTCCCGCATTGTGTTTATCAAACCGAGGGAATAGTGTATTAAAATATTATATTTTATAGAGATAATAGTGAGTTGTAATCAATTGCTTTCAAGTTTAAATTTAAAAAAAACATAGTATATCTACAGATTTAGATATTAACAGAATTCGGTTTTAACATAACATTTTGTAAGCCCTATGCATACTGTATGCTAAATGCGCCCGATTTGAACACGCACGATTCTAACAGCCATTTCCAGTATACCATAATTCTATGCTTCGATTATAACACAATGTATGTCAATAAAAGTACAAATTTAATGTTCTTTTATTGAAAGTGTTGTTTTGCCACATTTCTCATGAAAATGTCGACCAATAAACGCAAAAAAATCTTTCACTTTTGAAACTAAATACAAAATTATTCAAATAATTTAACAAAAAGTAAATTTTAATGAAATTGTACGTTAATTTACTGATGAAAGATTCAGTTTAAACAACATTTCGTCAATTAAAGCCTAGAGACAAAATTAGAAGTGTTTACGTTATTTAATGTAACATATAGTATATAATGTACAGCTTTAATGTACATAATTATATTCCATTTTAACAAATATAACATAATATAACAGTTCCGAAGAAGTGTTATAATCGAATGTCTACTGTAGTCTCTCTCTCTCTCTCTCTCTCTCTCTCTCTCTCTATTTCTATATCTCTGGCACTTTTATGACATAAAAGGAGTGCAATTGAGGGTTCTCTCTCTCTCTCTCTCTCTCTCTCTCTCTCTCTTTCTGATGCATTAAACAAATAGTTAGTATCGATTGGAGACAACATTGATCTTAAATGTAAAAATATCTGGAAATGACGTTTTTATCGATTCAATGATTTGTTTGTAATCCGAAAAATAACTCTTTAAGAGTGATTCGCATATTACGTTCGCACCTTTAAGAAATCTGGACACCCTCCCCTATTGTTCGCATGTAGTCATTTTCAAAAAATTACCTTAGCAAAATTGTCGCCCCACTCCCCCTCGTTCGCAAAAGTTCGCTTTGGCCGACCCCTCCCCTCAAGTGAGAACGTAATATGCGAAACACCCCTCATTGAGAAGTTGTATTGAGTGTAAATAGAGATCATTGATGTGATGGCCAACGGATTCTAATGTTTATCATTGAGCTTTCAATACAATAAGTTTTACTTTACTGTAATCACCTTTTGGTGAATATTTGTGAATATTTCTAAGAATTTGTAAACTATTTCTAACATATTATTATAAACAACGACAGCATAAATTTACTGTATAACTGCGTGCCTTTCATATTATACATGTATACAAATTCATGGTAATTAATTTTCAAAATGATCCAAATGCAGTTTTTATAAATATTTTGTAGAATATGACAAAATGTTATGCGATTTATGGCTTTGTATTTAGAATAATAGAATTTGATGACAACCAGTTGAGAGAATGCTAACTGTACATTGTACATTGTGTAATTAAGGGAATGTGACATATAATTGTTGGTTCATATACTCACAAATTGGTCATATTTTTAAGTCCTGCAAACATTTTGGGTCTAATTTGTCGCAACTTATTCTGAGTGATGAGTAAGTCATTCAACACGTTTGCGCCCACAAAAGAGCCGTCCTCTATATCCGCGATCTCGTTATTCCGCAAATCTCTATACAAAACCAGAAAACAATATGTTTTATTAAATGTCTTATTTGTTTGCTTTAAGCATTTGAGTCAATACTTGAACAGACGTTATTCAAACAACAACTCATAGATTAGCAAATCATATAAGGTTCTTACTTATACTGTTGTGCTGTACAGTGTAGTGTACTGTACTCTATAGTACAGTACAGTACAGTATTATTGATTAGGAGAAAAGGGCAATAATATATACAGTATTATATGACTTACAATTTGATGAGATGACCCAACTTCTTGAATAGTCCCGTATTGCGAATCTTATAGATATTGTTATCATTTAATCGCCTAATCAACAAAAAAGAGCAATTTATTAAAAAACTATTTCTCTAATGATGTGAAAACTGACAATAAAAGAGCTAATAGTGATAAAGTAATGGCCATGTCTTCACAAATGCCGGTGTGTTTTGGACACATAACTGTGGGCTCTTAAACATCATTCAACTCTCCCTTTCATTCAATTTGTTGGTCGTCTCTCACTATACACTGTACTGTAGTGTCGAAGCAATGCTAGTAAAGCATTCAATTTAGACTACAAACAAATTTCTATAAGAAAACAAAATACTTTTCCTCTGTATTCCTCTGCAAACTATTATTTCGCTTCAAATCCAATGATTTATTGCAAACTCTGTTCACAATTTTACCAAACATTTTCAAATCTCTTTTTTATATATAACTTTTAGATTATTTTCTTTTTAAATCTCTCTCTCTCTCTCTCTCTCGATTTAGTTAGTTAGAGAGAGAGAGAGAGAGAGAGAGAGAGAGAGAGNNNNAGAGAGAGAGAGAGAGAGAGAGAGAGAGAGAGAGAGAGAGAGAGAGAGAGGTATTTTTGCTTTATTCACAGAAATATCATTTCGAGTTCACTAAACATTTCTTTCTTTCTTCGCCTCAAATCTAATACAGACTATACTATAAAATATGAACAATTTGTGAAATATTAATCGTTATGTTGTTTGCTTTGGCTTAAGATTTGTGCCAACGGTTTAACTTTTGGATACATTTACAAAGTATTCAATTCATTGCATTTTCTATGCATTTAATCTCAAAGAATTACTTAAATAAATGACATACAAATGATGTACAATACCTCATGGTATATTAAGGTAATTTTATAAATAAAAATCTGACTATTGTTAACAGTAGTATTATAATTAATGATGTTATTTTACACGTAATATTCATTTCAATCTTACGTTACATGTAATATTACGTAATTTACCGTAATTCTGAAACATTCAATTTTTAATTCAGTCAATTAAATAATTAATGTAAATACTAGTGTTAATTAACTATGAATTAGCTATTAATTAAAGATTAATTGCATTCAATTCAAATTAAAGACATAAAATATTAATTATATCTTCAAAATTGTTGTCATAGTCATAATCACTCAATTTTGTCTCAATTAAAGCATTTTTTGGCGGAATAATAAGTAATGGTTTTGTAAGTTACATGTAAGATTCAAATTTTGCTGTAATTTACGTGTAGTTTACTGTAAATTACGTCTGTAAGATATGTAAGTTACATTCGTGACAACACTAATTATAATGTACTTTATAATATCATACTTGTATGTGTAATGGTTCTTGGGATTTAGTTGATAACATACTGTAGATTAGTTGACAACATAGAAACAATTTTAACATTAAGTCTACGGATAATGTAATTTCGTATTGGTTGATAGTAGAGTAGTTAACAGCATAGATATGCCATAGCTATTTGACTGTATTAGTTAATATAATGAACAATTTAAATATATTATAGAATTAACATGCACAGTTTTGTGACATCAAATTCAAAAAAGGTTCTCTGCTATTTAACATTGATTTATAAGCTGTATACAAATTAGTGAATTAATTATAGTAACTCATTCCTAACATTGCAATCACTCTCTAATTAATGATGTAAACAATAATTGACTCAAACATTGTCTATAAATATAGTTGAAAACGACTTTAACCTAAATTATAATTAATTCTTATAAGATATACAATACTCACAATTCTGTGGCGAAAGTTGGGATATCATTGGGAATATCTTTGAGAGCTCTTTTAGAACAGTCGACAACAGTTCCATCGCAAACACAATTGTCGGGACATTTAGTGTCTACTAAACACTGA